AACTACAATGGATAGTTTAAAATACTTTTATTTATTCTTTGACAATTTCATACATGTAGACAATGTATCTTAATCACATCCATCCCAACTCTCCCTCATACTACCCCCCCCAGGTATCCCCAAACCTTCCCCTTCCCACTTCACGTCCTCTCTAAAGGATATGATTTTATTCTTGCTTTAAATATGAGGAAATGGGGGTTGACGCAGCCTAACTCTCAGGTGTCCGCTGATGGCCTGTCACAGTGAGCGAAGTCTGACTGACTCCAAGGTCTGTACTGTTCCCAAGACTTCCTAAGCTTCTTACCAAGTCCTCCAGGAGAGAATGGGCCAGCCTTTGAAACCTATCCAGCTGGGGCTGGGCTGGGGGTGGGGCTGCAAGCAAGCAAGATGCTCTGAAATCCACCAGAGGGGAACTGGGGCCTAGACAGTAGTTGCTTAGGGTGCTTCTTTGGGGACTGTTTCCTGTTCCCAGTGATTATGTTTACCTCATCAGGTCCAAGCCCTTTGTAACAAGTTCCTAATGCACTGTAAGATGCTGTCGCTACCCGGGCTAGCCAGTGCCAGCCATGAGCTATGGCTCAAAGCTTGTTACCAGGACACATGACCCTGGGTGACTCACTGTGTTTGCTGGATTAAGGGAGTCAGGGGCTCCACACAGCTGACACAAAATCCCCAACAGCCCTCTTTCAGCTTCCAATATGCCAGGGAAAAATAATTCATTTCACACCATATACTCTTACACACACACAACACACACGTTCATATACATGCACATTATTATACATATGCAATATACACTCATCTACACACACACACACACATAGATTCTCTCAGGACTTCTACCCCATTTTCTTAGTCCAGGCCAAGTATCTGGGTCCACTGGCTAACTTCTCTCTTTCCTTCCCAACTACCTACACATTGATTGAGTGCAGACTCTGAACCAGAGCTTGTGCTCAGGACTGGGAGGGTCAGCAAATAAAACCCGCCTCCCCTCCTCCCTCCAGAGGAGACCTAGCCTGGGCCACAGGTACTCAGGCTCCAGAGGAGGGAGTCGGGCTGAAGGAGGGCAAGCAACCAGTCCAAAGTCACACAGTAGATTAGAGTTAATGAGATGATATACGTAAAAGCACTCTGCAGAGTGTCTGGCGCCAGTAAATAAGTAGAAACCAAATGTCTGTTTCCAGTGGCGGACCGGGGAATGGGAGTCGGCTCTCTGCAGTGCGATCATAAACTATTAAGCGAAGAGGCCTCTTGTCCACCCTGGAGGACTGCAG